TCTGCAACTTACCTGGCTGCTTCTTGCTCTGACTGAGGGCTGCTGGGAGCAGGGGGGTGGGGCTTGTTGCATGTGCCCACCCCCTGGGCTCTTTACTGCCGGAGCTCCGCTCCTGTGCGCTCCTGCAGGAAATGACCCCTGTATATTGAATTGATAACTTTAGATGGGGAGGGAGGGGAGAAAGAGAAAGAAAGGTGGGGAGAAAGAAAGTGGAAAGAAAGTAAATAGATGAGGGGGGAGAGAGGGAAGGAGGGAGAAGTGGAAAGAAAGCAAATAGATGAGGGGGGAGGGAGGGAAGGAGGGAGAAGTGGAAAGAAAGCAACTTTAACATTAAATGTGTCCTCCAAGCCCCCCCTTGCCCCCACGCTGGCTAGCTTGGCTTGCAGAAGGGATTTAAAGAGACAGATGCTTTTTCCCGGCCGGCTGGTGGCAGTGCTTTGAGACTGTATTTAAAGTTCAAGTTGTTTTCTCTCTCTGTACTGGCTGGGGAAGGGAAGACCAATTGGGGAGGCATGCCTCCCCATCGCTTCCCCAGCCACTGTTGCGGGAGGCACACAATATGTGTGAATGAGCCACGTGTGGCTCCCGAGCCACAGTTTGGCCACCCCTGCACTAAAGGAAACGAGGTGTTCGTATTTCGCGGTGGAATTTAAAGCCGCACGGGAAAGGACACACAACTTCATAAAGGCTTTGACCACGACTTTCTCCCCCATTTAAAGGAGGCGCTGAGTATTTCAGACGGGACAAGTTTAGAGCAACTGCTAAAGAGGTGGAAGTTCTTGGCAGATAGGAAAGAAGAGGGGGGAGAGTGAGAACGGAGAAAGATATATTTCCCGTCACCCACGACCTGATCCCATAATTGGAGATGCCCCAGGCTCGGGTTTGAGGGAAGGGAGAGAAATATTTGACTTGAGAGGGGCAGGCACTCTTCCCTCCTGTCTTGTGAGTCCTGGGGACAAAAAGAGTGGTGGTGGAATGTTTTCTTGCCACTCAGAGTCTTTTGCAAGGGTGGGTCCCTTCCCCCTCCCCCCTCCCAGCTGAAGCCAGCTGCTCCACCAGAAGCTGAGTAACTCCCACAAAATATGCTCCCGAACCACCCCCCGCATAATTGTATGTTCCTTGCAAAAGCAGAATTTTGACTGGCATATCGAAAACCTCTGCATTAAGAAACTAACATTTCATCTTGCAGCTGATTGCCGTGGGAAAGAAGAATGCACAACTAGTCCTTACGGTTGTGTGTGTGTGTTTTGTCTTCTCCAGGGACGTGAAAGCCGGAAACATTCTTCTGGGAGAAGATGGCTCAGTCCAAATCGCAGGTAACTCTTAAAATTTGCCTCCGCTGTATCATAAGAGCATAAAAGAAGCTGTGCTGAATCAGGCCAGTGTCATACAGTGGCCAAATCCCAGGTACCATCAGGAGGGCCAGAACTCCAGAAGCCCTCCCGCTGTTGTCCCCCAAGCACCAAGAATACAGAGCATCACTGCCCCAGACAGAGAGTTGCATCTAGACCTTGTGGCTAAGAGGACATAAGAACATAAGAAAAACTATGTTGGATCAGGCCAATGGCCCTTCCAGACCCATACTCTCTGTCACACTGTGTCCAAAACCCAGGTGCCATCAGGAGGTCCACCAGCGGGGGCAGAACTCCAGAAGCCCTCCCACTGTGGCCCTCCCAAGCACCAAGAAGACAGAGCATCCCTGCCCTAGATGTAAGAACATAAGAGAAGCCATCTTGCATCAGGCCAATGGCCCATCCAGTCCAACACTTTGTGTCACCCAGTGGCCAAAACCCAGGTCCAATCAGGAGGTCCACCAGCGGGGCCAGAACTCCAGAAGCCCTCCCACTGTGGCCCCCCAAGCACCAAGAAGACAGAGCATCCCTGCCCTAGATGTAAGAACATAAGAGAAGCCATCTTGCATCAGGCCAATGGCCCATCCAGTCCAACCATCTGTGTCACACAGTGGCCAAAACCCAGGTCCCATCAGGAGGTGGTTTTCCGTGGCATGTTTCTGCACAGCAACCCTGGACTTCCTTGATAGTTTCCCTTCCAGGTACTGTAACCAGAGCCGACCCTGCTTAGCTTCTGAGATCTGACGGGATCAGGCTAGCCTAGGCCATCCATGTCAAGGCAAGAGAACAACGGAGGTGGGTTTGCCATTGCCTGCCTCTGCGTAGCAACCCTGGACCGCCTTGGTACTCACCCATCCATGGACTAACCAGGGCCGATAAACTTCTGAGATCTAATGGGATTGGGCTAGCCTGGGGCCATCCAGGTCGGGGCTTCCTTGGCATATGCACAGCTCAAACCCTCTTATCTGGATCCCGACAGAATTGGATTTGTTAGAGGAACGGTTGGGCTTTGCTCTGCCGGCGGAGCCTCCTCTAGAGCAACCGCTCGACCTTAGCCCAAAGAAAGCTGCTCTTAAATGTCACTTCCTTGCGAGGTCGAATAGCAATGGGTGACCCTCCATTGTGGATCAAAGGATCTGCAAGAGAAGCAAACATCTAGGGGTAGGTCATGCATTTGTTTCTGTGAACCCGGAGGAATCCCGGGCTTTCAGAAGACTATAAAGAGTTGCAAAAATATACGACAGGAGCAGTTTAAAGGCTAACAATACTTTATCTCACGCCCCTGGGCTCCTGTTTTATTTGTTGCTGCAGAACTCCATGGCTGCCCATCTGGGGGGAAATATTGGGGTGTTATAGCCTCTCCCCCCCATTGTAACAGAAGCGCCTTCTCCTTTTCTTTTTTTAAAAAAGCATATTTTATTAATTGTTAATTGTAGATTTTCCAGGCTGTATGGCCATGGTCTTGGCATTGTAGGACTTGACGTTTTGCCAGCAGCTGTGACTGGCATCCTCAGAGGTATAACACAAAAAGATGGAGTACTCTCTGTGTCAAGGCATTCGACAACATATTATATTTTCTTAAGTTTTCCAAAGAACAATATCTAATACAATACTATATAAAAATGTTCAAATATTACATAGTCCGTAAAGATACAAGTAGAACAAAGTTCAAAGTTTATTTATTTAACGGCTTTCACCGGCTTATAATACAACGAATAAAACTGAATACGCAGAATAAAATATGAATTAACCTGGTATAATCTATATACTAATAGCCAAGGTGCCCCCTGCGTGCAGGTATCTAAATCCACACATCGGGGACACCTGGGGGCAAAGAGATTTTCCGGCACATTTGGGGCAATCCCCAGATGTGCAGACAAATCTGAAATCTATAAAAAACTATAGGGAGGATACTTAAATCCCCCCCAAAAGTAAAAGAGCGTTCCCTGCGCATGTGCAGGGAACGCTCTGAGAACTGCCTCGCATGGGGGGGGGAGAAAGCTTGGTGGGCCCGATGGAGCCACGTGGGCCTCACTATTGGTGCAGGGGGGGGGAAGGCTTGGCTGGCCCAGCAGGAGCCGCATGGGCCTCGCCGTTGGTGTGGGAGGG